GCAGGCGGCCCGCAGGTTCTCTGTGTTACACCCTCGCGGAGCCAGTGCTGTTGGGCCAAGGCTCCGAAGGGCACCTGCCGTTATAGAGGTAATAAAAATAACAGGTCAGGAGGAAAGGTGATGGCAAGCAGCAGTGCCAAGTTTTGTCTCGACGAGGCCACAGAGTCGAGATTTAGCTGTGCCAGGCTCCTCAGGCACAGAGGTTCATTCCACTGTAAATTATTATCTATTATTCAGTATTACTTAAGTCTGTTTATTTAAAGCTTTCCTCCCGTTTTTGCCCCTCTGGAGACTTGATGCGAATACCTGCTAAATTTAGCTATCATCTGAATAAAGCTTATTCAATTATAGCCAGTGCTGGCAGTCACAAGCTGACACTGGAGAAGAAGGAGAGAGGTTTATTCTCCCTCAGACGTGTCCTGCAGGGAGAGAGCGGTACAAGCGGCTCTCATTGTTTCTCATAGTAATGATCTCTAGTGGAGACTGATAACAGTTAAACCTCGGTTCATTAAAAGGCATTCATTCTCTCTGGAAATTGTTCTCCAGCCTCTGCAGATGTCACCTCAATGCCTGTCTTTTTATTCTTTTCCCTGGATGGTTCCCAGCATCCTGTGCCAGTATCTGCCGGTGTGATGATGCTAATAACGTTTTTCTGGACAGGACGTGCTCGGTGCTCATTCCTGGCTTCAGGGCTGGAGAGCATTAACCATTCACTGCTTGTTCAGCATCTTGCTCCTCACTCTTAATTTTCCTTTTACAGCAATCTGAACCATTTTTTCTTTGATTAGGAGAGACAGTCACTGGGTGTGTAATGCAGAGCACTTCTCCGTTTTCTTGTTTTCTCTTAGTAGCTAGCAGAAGATAGAGCTTGCTCAGCTCTTAGTTCCCTGCCAGGTTTGTCCCGCCAGTTGTGTGAAAGCTAATGAAGTTACGAGGAGGGTATTGTAGATTTACAAAGCAGAAACTAAACAAGCAATGAGTTAACAGCCTATTGTCAAAACTGGAGAGAACACTAGAGAGCATTCTAGTCAGCTGAAGATTTGTTATTACTTGTCTACTCGGATTATCTTTGTCTTGGTCAGAGTGAGATAAATGATAGCTGCCAGTGATCTTACCATGGGGAACGCATTTCCAAAAATACCTCATCAGTCAAACGCTCTCCTTTAGCTCCTAAAATACAATTTACAGGTTCTTTGTAAGAGGTTCATGGTTACATATTGCATAGTATATTCAAAACAGCTTATTCTACTGGTTAAACACTATATTTGCATAATTTAACTTTATTAGGATCACCTAATACATTGTTACACATGCTTAGTGTCAAAATGGTGTAACCTTATCAATGTCTTATGAAGGCACCTGATGCAAAGACGTCTTCATTACCAACACTGCAAAACATGTTTAACAAATTAGTGTGGTACAAGCTGCACTGATTTATTATCCTGTTGATGGAAGAGAAATGCCCTTTTCTACCTCAAAAGTAAACCACTAGCAACACTATACTATTTCTATTTCTGTTGTGCCAATTAATAAAGCTCTCAATTATGTAGGTCTCAGAAAATCTGACTCCCTTCTTGTTAAATACCTTCAGCAGCAAGAAACCATAATACAGGCAACGCCTCCTTTGACCAGCAAGGTTGAGTGCAGACTCGCTATGATTTTAGTCAGCAATTACCTGCAGAATAAAATTTAACGAGCACACAAGGGTCATTTTGCTGAAGAGGGAAAGCAAGGCACTTTCTTTAACTGCCTTCACAGTCACCTGCCTCACAGTCTGGTCAGGCTCTTGGAGCTAGTTAGAGCACCAAGAAGCTAAATGGATGCGCGCTTCATGGTATGATGCATTCCCTGGGTTTGGATCTGTTACCAAAGATCACGGTCCAACATGGTCTGTGGATTTTTTTAACCCTTTGTGAAATCATGTACCTATTATTAATGCGTTATATTTCTCCATCTCCTTTTAACAGCGTCCGGCAGCTTTTCTTGGGGCGGGATCATTAATGCTCCTCCTGACTGCATACTGGCTTCAGCTGTGCTTGGTCTTGACAGACACGGTGATAATAGCATCTGTCATGTCTCTGTCCAGGTGTCTTTGGTACCACTAAGACCTTTTACACTCCTGCAGGCACAGGTGCAGAGTCTCCCCTTGCTCTTTGACTTTAATAGAGAATTGTGCTTACAGCTTTTCCCTGCAGCGCTAAACAATATCAGTTTATTGGCTTATATTAGCAATGTATGATCGTCTCTTAGTATGAACTGGATTTTGCCTGTGTATTATATGTTCCTTTAAACCTGCATGTATGTAGAATTTAGATGTTTGGATCACGTAATCTTCTCTCCTACCTGTCATAAACTGTAAAATATCCTCTGTTGGTGTTAGATTAAGTTGACTAACCCGTCTTTGATAAATCTGCTTTATGCTGAGCACAGTATATAAAATGCTGTATTCCTCTTTGCAGAAGCTTCCATGACTATATCACTCTCATAGTAAGGATATATTCCTTATTTTGACATCATGTATACATTTAACTATCACTTCCTTTTACCTGAATCACTATTGAAAGCAGTTGAACAGACTCTACAAATAGCTTTTGCCAGACTAGTGCGTAGTATTAAAAATCTAATGTTAGGAGACTGTGTCTGTGTCAGTACCTCTCCCCCCACCCCGCACCAGTATTTCATTGTACTGTCTTAAGGCCTCTCCTCAAATTAAAATTTCATCCAAGAAAACTTCATCACTTTGTAATCTCTCAAAAATCAGTGCAGTTAGCTCTTAGGAGCGCTTTGGGGACAGAATGAATGTCAAATGTTGTTCATTTGTATGTGTAACATCCAAACAAATTGCTGTCTCGGAGCCTGAATAATCTAACTTTGGATGGCAGAAACCACAGGCGCTGCCTTTCGGATTGAGAATGTCTTTGTTTCTGAGTTAAGCTGTCTTCGAAAGCTTTCTGCCGCTAACGTTCATGTTTTACAGCTTTCTTTAAATCTCATGCCTCAGCGGGTACCCACGAGCTAGCTGGCTTTTCAATTACAAATAACCCAGCATAAAGATCAGTTTAAGCTTTACGTAACTTCCATATGTGAATATTATCAGTTCACTTTCTGCTTTATTTCTTACGGCATTGAAGAATGGAAATTTTCCCTGTTTGAATATGTTGATGGAGTGTCTGTTCTTCTCTCTATTACTCAAAGCATTGGAAGATGTCTGAGATTGTTGTACATTTGGCCTGTTCCGCCTTATAATTCTGTGCTACATGCTAACAAAGACATTAATGATATTCGCAGTTAATCATATTGCTGTCTGTGGCAGTTCATAATAGCCATTTCTTTGCTCTTACTTTATGTTCCAGCTTCTGGATTTAGGGGGTTATTTAGGAGTCTGGGTCGGAAGGAATATTGTGAAGAATCTGTGTTAGAACACAGAAGCTGACGGCAGCATTAGAAGTAAAATACAACAATAGAAGCATTTATTTAGTTTAGGGCTCTTTTCAAAACAGTCTTATGATTTTGTGAAATGGGATCCTGATGTTTGAACATTTGGTATTGTCCACACTGACACATATATCTGTATTTTCTCTTCCAAAATGAACCAGACCGATTTTCAAGCTGATTTATAACAGATTTTCACCTGTGCATGTTTCTTCACATGTGGATTATGGAACGTGCTTTGCTTTAGACAGCTGCCCAGTTTTACTACATCCCATATTCTGTATTTTCTCTTGAGCAGCAGTATTCAAAGATGCTGTCATTAATATTTAGCAGTGTTTGTGAACTTAATGGCAGTTTGTGTCGTGGTCACTGTTCTTACAAAGAACCATGGATCACTGCCTGCCCTGTACCTCGAGTACATAGGAGCCTTTGTCCATTAACTGTGTGACGTGCCTTTGAGAAGCGATTTGACTTTCTGGCCTACTGAATTTGAAAAAGGGCTGGACAATGCTTTGATTCATACACTTGCATGGATAAGTATTCAGTTACTTTAGACTGACAGAAAGTCTTTTATTCTGATTTTTTTTTGTTTGTTTGTTTTGTTTTTTAAATCCAGTGCAGATACCTGCCTCTTCCATGCACTTTTCAGCCTGTTCCAGGTCACCGAGAAGCTGGCTCTGCCTTGCACAGCTTCTGCAGATAACGTTGGCGCAGGTTAAGATTAAATCGGCTTCCCACCATGCCAGATGCTGTAGTAAGAAATGAACTCTGCCCCTGAGCAAGACAGGAGTTATTGTCCTCCTGTACAGATGAGATAAGGAGGCACAAAGTTTAAGCAACTCGCAGAGTAGCTGAGATAGGATGAATGCTCAAACTAGATCTTCTGAACGACAATGTGGAGGCTCAGCCCAGAACATATCCTTGTTCTCCACTTGGGGAAGAGGGTAAGCAAAAGTAGCTTTCCTGAAGCTGTAAGAGCCCGCTTTGTAGAGAGGTAATATTTTTAAGAACATAAGTGTTATATTTGGAAAAAACAGAAGCAGGTCCGTCTTCAGGGCTTAGATACCAGAAGAAAGCACTTGCCAGTAATATTTTGCATATCATACAGAGTTGGTGTCACAAGGTTTTTGTGATTGGAAATAATGGGGTTTTGCATCCAAACTCATGAAAATGCCTGAACTTCCAGTACCCTCATACTTTCTATCTTTGCCTGAAGGGAAAAATCTCTTCAGAGGGGCACCTGCTGCTCTTGCATGCCTCCTAGAGCAGAGCAGGCAAACAGATCTGCAGA